TATTCTTGAAGATCGGGAGTTTTGTATAATAAATACAATTTTTCTTGGATCACAAAAATGATGTGTTTATGGGCATAAATATATTAAGTGCCGTTCCCTTATATAAACCGAAAACATGACAAACCATCTGCGAGAGCAAAGACGAAACATTAAACTGTTAATTCTCTGGTGCAAGGCCTCACATGTGTCGAGTTTTGAACGTTTGGTCTTAGCTCTCGCTGACGGTTTGTGTTGTGAGATAATCAGCTCACAGATGGCAGTGAGGTTGTCAGCCTTACGCGCAGGCCTCCCTTTACAGCCCAGGAAGATTCCTGGTACTCGTTTCTGTTAGAAACTGAGTCGAATCCAGGGCGATATTGCGGCTGGAAGGATTGGGGCAATTGAAAAATCCAGTGACCTCATCGGGAATCGAACCCCCAACCTTCCGGCATGTAGCATAGGGCCTCATCCGCGTGCCACACTAGACAAGTGTCTCCTTTACCAACCGAAGTACCCACATTCTTTGAGGCAATACGGAGTTGAGACTTGGAAAGAATATAATTGCAGTTACCTAATTACTATTCCGTCTCCCTAATGGGGCAATTATCATAAACGTCTAACATGGACGACAAAAAACATAGTGTCACTCAAGATACAAGCTGCAAGCTGTAACAGCCAACCGATCACGTGTGAGCACTTCCTCGTCTTATTCCTGTAAAGGAATAATACAAAAAACTTACGGTGGGGAAATAACTGACATTAGAACAGGAGGTACAAACGAACAGTCGTCTCATTTCACATATCATTAAAATGAACAAGTATGGACGAGGGTGATATTAACAAAATGGAACAGGACTTATTAGCTCGCATTTAGAACTTACTGTCACGTGTATTGGTGACTAAAAACGCGGCTTTTGATTGGCGAGTCGATTTACTTGCATATTCACTAGTCATAACTACAAACAATTATAACACTTTTAAGATTACTCTAATTATAACACATAAATAAAATCTCTGTGGTCTAGTGGTCAGAGTTCCTGGCTAGAGATCCAGACGTCCGGGTTCGATTCCCGGCGCTACCAGATTTTCTGAGAAGTAGTGGGTCTGGAACGGAGTCCACTCAGCCTCGTGAGGATAACTGAGGAGCTATTTGAAGGAAATAGCGGCTCCGGTCTAGAAAACCGAGGTTAACGGCCGTGGGGATTCGATGCGCTGACCACACGACACCCTCTATCCGCTAAAATTGACACTATCTTCGTCGACAAGCGGCGGTTGCTCGTTAGTGTAGTTCACTTGAGGACTAAAACAACGAAGTTTTTTTTTATATTTGCTTACACTAGTCGTTTGATAGGTAACATATCTCAGCAATAGCTATACCTCTGGAAAGGTTTTCCCTATCCGTTTCCTGGCAACGGAGTTTAACACAGGAACTATAAAGGTCACATTCCAGATATCACTGACACACAACACCCAAGGTCTCCACAGGCCGACTACGGTCTTCCCGTGGCTATGTCTTGCCATGAACTGAACTTGCTTCTGAATTCACTTCTGTCATAAACACTATGCACAGACCCCACGGAAAATACCGTTCTATTGTTGATGACGTCACCGCATTGCATAGCAAGGTCCGATAAGCGGAAATGTGTTTACCGAGCCATTGCTTAGAAACGGATTACATAAACCCGCTGTTCTACTGTTGCTTCGCGCAGACCACATAGAAAACAGATTCCCCTATATTGTTGCATGTTGGAAAGTGTTTACCGAGTCGTTGCCTAGCAATGCTTCGATCAAAATCTGTCACAGTATTTTGTGCTGAGGCATATTAGGCATATGTCAACGATGCAAACTTAATTTTACAGCTTCTATCGTCAATTCACATTTCTAGCGTACCTTCCACTGTCAGCTTCTGCTCCTATTCATAACTAATTTTATCACTAATGACTGGTAACATATACTATAACGAAGTACGTGACGGCAAAATAGTGAGAGCCTCTTTATTTGTTAATCAGCTCATGACATTTCTAATATAAAATATTAAATATAAGGCATAACAATAAATATGCAATATTTCACATATATTTATACCCTCATATGGTTTGTTTTACAGTCACCGAATGAACTAGCTTAACCTTTTTAAAGGGCACTGATTACTATATGTACAACCTATTTAACACGCTAAAACTCTGCATTCTGCCCACAGAGTGTATCTGTGTGTTCCGTATGGCTCTCACAGTAAACAGCGGCTGTTTCCCTACAGCATTAACCGATTGGTTTTTGTAGCGGAGACGTAATATGTTTCCTGTGAGGTACGAAACAATTTCTATATATATCTTAGAAGAAATTCAGTCCTCAAAGGGTAAAAATGAGGAACTCCAATGCGATACGATGCTCCAACTGGCTTCTAAACGCATTACCTAGACAGAAGATATGATGCACACACTTTTAATTTAAATTAATCTCCAAAAATTGTGTCCGCTATTTGAACTTTTTGTGATATTAATGAGCGTGTTGCGTGCGGCAAGGAACAGATCCAGGTCACATTACAGCGTATCTCTGTTCATAATTCAAATTAAATATTACTGTGCTTGTATCCAGTCCGTCATATAAACTTAAAAAGATGGAAAAGATAGTCTGACCAATAGGGAACTCATAGCTTGTACGTAAATGGACAGAGATTATTACGGGAACAATCAGCCCGATGGTTAATTATTCTGCTGTACATGCCGCTAGCTGAACCATTTTGAGCAGGGTTGGATTCCCAGCAAGGGTACAAATTTTTCTGTTTCCACGGCGTCGAAACAGGCACTGGAGGCCACAGAGTTTCCTACCAAGCGGGTACCATGTGTTCTCTCCCCGACAGTAAAGAAAGGTGAAGGTAAAGCTATCCTTGCGACATGCCGTGTAGGCCCATAGCGCTGTGAGACGTCGAGGTTCCCACATTTTCTAGACAACTGGCTCACAGATGACTGTGAGGTTGTCAGCCTTACGCGTTGGCCGCACTTTACCCCAGGAAGATTCCTGGTACTCATTTCTATTATAGGAGACGCCCCAGGGCCATAATGCGGCTGGAAGGATTAAGTCATTTGAAAAATCCAACGACCTTACCGGGAGTCGAACCCGCGTCTTTCCGTCTTGTAGCACAGTGCCTCAACCAAATACGTTACCGCGTACCCCCAGGAATATAGAGGCTGTGTTGTAAAGCTCACCATTCACCTACAGTTAAAGTTGATGCTCAGAATGCGTGGAGCTATAACTTCACTCTCCCATACGTCTTCCTCGTTGCGTCATCAGGATTGAGAGGAAGCGTTATGCTATATACCACTATGAAACGGTGAAGGGAAGGCAGCTGACACTGCTCAGGGTGTACCACATAAACAGGCAACGATACAGGTTTATATGGGCCCTTGGTTCGGCTCGTAAACCGAACGCCATCTCGCTCATTCGAAATCCCTTCCGAACAAAAACGAACACGTGCGAACGGAAACGGAGAAAGAAGATGGCAATATCCTGTGCTCCGCTCTGCATCTTATACGAGGTATACATATATAAGATTTTCCTGTATATTTTGTTAATAATTTTGTGATTTGTGCCCCAGTAAAGGAGGAAATTAGGAGGCGATTGAACTCGGGCAATGCTTACTACTATTCAGTCGAGAAACTTTTGTCTTCTCGTCTGCTGTCCAAAAACATAAAAATTAGAATATATAAAACTATAATTTTGCTTGTGGTTCTGTATGGATGTGAAACTTGGTCTCTGACATTAAGGAAGGAACATAGACTGAGGGTGTTTGAAAACAGGGTGCTGAGGAGAATATTTGGACCAAAGAGGGATGAAGTGACAGGAGGTTGTAGCAAACTGCATAATGAGGAGCTTCATAACTTGTACTCTTCTCCAAGTATAATTAGAATGATCAAGATAAGGAGGATGAGGTGGGAAGGTCATGTAGCACGAATGGAGGAGAAAAGGACTGCATATAGGATATTGGTGGGAAAGCCAGAAGGAAAGATACCACTGGGAAGACCAAGGCGTAGGTGGGTGGACAATATTAAAATGTATCTTAGAGAGATAGTTTGGGATGGTATAGTTTGGATTGTCTGGCTTAGGATAGGGACCAGTGGAGGGCTCTTGTGAACAAGGTAATGAACCTTCGGGTCCATAAAATGCTGGGAAATTCTTGAGTAGCTGTAGAATTGGTGGCTCCTCAAGAAAGGCTCAGCTGCATAAGTAAGTAAGTGATACCCTAGTAGTCATGTCTCATAAGTTGAAGAGTTCTGTTCTACTGGTGTTTTGTAGCATGCAAGTGTCACTAATGACTTTAAAATTTTCTAATACATCTCCCTTGCCTTTAAGTTACGTTTCAGGCCATAAAATTAGTGAATCCCCCCTCTGTCATTTATTGGTCCTTAAGGAAAGTAACCTCAATTTATAACATTGTGTCTATGGATAATGGCGGTTCGCTTTACGTACCCTCTCCAGAAAAGTAACAATTCATAAGAACAGCGTCTGTCTGTATATGAAATACTAAATGTTGAATAACAGCTTCCATTCCTTATAAAACTGTAATATTAACCTTACAGAAATATGATTCATAACAATTTTTATCTCGGGTAATTCTGAGTATTTCGGTCACAAAATGAGCTCCCATTTTCAGATATAAGATAAAATATGCAACGATATAGGCCTAACAGAACAATTCGAAAAATTCATTTTGTTGCAATACATGAATGTTGCCAAAACTCTAATACAGGTTTGTGTTAACAATTCATAACACAAAACACTTCATCTCTGTTGTGGTTTCTGAATTGGTAGTCCAGCGAATTCCTGTTGCGAGCTAACAAGTGGGCAGAAGATTCGGCCGCACCTCCCAGTGAAGTCGGGCCGACCCCTCTTCAGGATAGCATTTCCAAAAACCTCAGCATATACGAGTACTTGCCACATTATCTTTCATTTTCCTTAGTCTTCAGATCTTCCCAAGCAACTGCCCCACTCCATTTTCATCATAACAGAAACACGTAACGTACCTTGAAAGTAACTTTTGGTCCGGAGGTAGCTGACGGACAGCCGCAGGATCGAGAGGCGATCGAGCTTGGAGAGGATATTCTGCTCGAATGGTAAGAGGCTGGCCAAAGTGTCCAGTTCAGCGTTCAGCCGCTCCCGGTGTCGCTTACTTGGATTGCTCTTCGTGACGCCGTCCTTCGGGGGCGGCTTCAAGCTGCAACACAGGACCGCAAGAACTGAGCACCTGAGCTACAACTGAAACTGGCATTTCTTAGCAGCGGCCTCTTAAATTCCAGGAAATTATAAAGTTAAAATTGTCTCCGTGCTTAACTAGTTAAGCACTATGACATGAAGGCGTATGGGGGAGTTGTTGTATAGATCTATGTTTTCTTGACTTCGGCACTAGTTGGGGGTGAGTGCTCAGCTTCACGCCCCGGACGCTTTACCCCCGGTCCCCACTAGATAGCAGGCTATGTGGACCCCAGAGCCGGTCTGGACGACGAAAAGAAGTGAAAATTCTTACCCCTACCGGGACTCAAACTCCGACCTCTCTATTGTCCAGCCCGTAGCTAGACTCTATACCGACTGCACTAGCCCGGCTCTAAAAAAATTATGAACAATCTGTATTTAGAAACTGTAACTCATACAGTAGTCGTCTGTATAAGAATTAGAATGATCGTCTCAAGGCGGATGAGGTGAACAAGGTATGTAGCACGCATGGAGAGAAAAGGAAAGCATGTAAGTTTTCGGTGGGAAAGTCATAAGGAAGAGGCCACTAGGGGGACTTACACGTAGGCGAATGATAATTTTAAAATGAATCTTAGAGAGATAGGATGGGGTGGTATGGACTGGATTAATTTGGCTCGGGATAGGGACTCATAATAAGATCTCGTGAATACGGTAATGAACTTCCGGCTCCACAAAATTTTTGGATATTCTTGAGTGGTTTTGCGACAGGCGGCTTCTCAAGGACGGTTGAGCTCAACGTAGTTAGATATTTACGAGCAGTTAGCCTTCTGTACAGTGACCCCTTGCAAACTGGTAATACAGAAAAGTCGTCACAAACGGAAAGCCTACAATATGAATATTTACTTCAAATTTGATAAACACAATATCGCATTTTATGTACCAGTCTGCCCCCATTCAACCGCAGACATGATACGGGGCGGAGGATCACAGTGGCCGCACGGTCTAAGGTCTAAGCCCCTTTTCTGTTGGACGCTGGCGGACTTTCAGTTTCTTGAGCTTTTTACACAGTCGGTCGGACTCCTTGGACGGGGGATCAGCCCATATCAAGGCCGCTACCTACACATAGAAAAAGACAAACAGAATAAACACATACAGACATCCGTGCCTCAGTGGGATTCGAATCCACGATCTCAATGTTTGAGCGGGTGAAGACAGTTCATGTCTCAGTCCGCGCGGCCACTGTGATCGACCATTCGACATGCAAGTTTGGAAGAAGAGTGAAATACACGTTTTCTCTCCTATATAAATTTTTGTAAAACCTGAAGTTTTCGAGATAATTAAACAAAGGCGAGCGAACGCGTCAGAATTATACCACGCTTACTGTTCCTAACCCGATCTCTGCTAATGAGCCAAGAATCTTCATAGCCCTTCATGTCCATCATCTCTAGAAGTCGAAAACAGGAGAGAGACGATCAGTTCTGCAGGATCCAACGAGTGTGTTTCGCACCAACTGATCACACTCATTTCCCAGGTACCAATCTGGCTGAGATGTGGCCCAGCTCTCTGCTAATTCATTGCTGGAAGTCACATGAAACAGAGGCCGCCGTCAGCCTAATTAATTATTTGCTGTAATGTTGAAGCAAGACTGCTTTAAAAATGTTCCGACAGCCGCTGGCGGCCATAATGAAATGAGCATTCCTATGATGTGACAGGCTGACAAATACAAGCGGCACCCGCGACCTCTGCTCCGTCACTCATTTCTTCACGGGATCGAATTGCATCCAAGGTTCGTATTATGTTGGAGGTTTCACACCCCGTACACTCACCAAGAGGATGATGATCCTAGTTACACTTGTTTCTCGTTACAATATTTACACTCACGAACAGAGACAATACAGAAATCTGATTAGACATTGGAGACTGTGCAGAGGATTCCTATTTAATTATGTAGGTTTTTACAATCAAAAACGGACTGAAGAGGAATCTTGTTACAATACTGGCACGTGTATGAGGGTGTGCGTGACTTATAGACGAGTTCTGAATTGGCTGGTTGGATTTATATAATATTTATTTATTTATACACTCAGCTCGTGACTACAGGCAATGCAGCGCTATCGCTGATCTACACATTTTACAGTTCACCGTTTGCACAAGCTCTAGGGTTCTCAGTCTTCACTAGCCGTATTCTGGAAACGGATTTATAACCGTCTCACTGTCACTTCGAATCACAAATGAAGTTTTCTTCTCACGGTCTAATTCCTTTCTTGCCATTCTTCTCAGTCACCTTAGACTGCCGTCTCCAGAACTCGACCCATTTCTTGATAACTCATTCAAACGTCAAAGTCAAGGTCAAAGTCACATTGCGACTGACGGTCAGTCAGTCAGTAAGTCTTGGTGTCGAGCCCAACCTGGGGCTCATGACCAGATATTTATTATTGTTTGACAGTTACGATCTTGTTTTTGTGGGGCGCCCTTTCTGATGAGAGGACGGGTCTGTCTTTTGTATATGCTGCTGGTCCTTGCCAGCGCAGTCTTTCTCGGGTCCGAGTCCCTTGGGACTTGTAACCATATTTCACTGTCTCAGATTTGAGACTACTCTTTTCGTCGCCTCCTACGACTCGCAGAGTCACGGTGTAGGTATTCGACCCCGCCTCCACACGGGTTTCATTGAAACGACTTTATCTGTCCCTTTATAACCCCTCGGTACGGAATACGCAGAATACACAACCCCTCTAATGTTGAGAAGGCTTATTTACTGATCCGTTGCCGAGCAATAGACGTCTTATTGTTGCAAGCGTTGGCTCCTGCGGGAATGTGTTTAGCAAGCCGTTGCCTAGCAATGTTTCTATACGTCAAAATATGTGCACTTATGCACAGGTAACGCAGAAGTATGTAAGATTTTAGGTTTCCACGGCCGTGACTATGAAGTAAGCGGTCTTCTGGGATGTGGCACCGTGTAGATGTGGTGTTAACACAACCACATCCACACGGTGCCACATCCCAGAAGACTGCTTTCTCCAATGCAGAAATATGATTACACACTGGACACTCACAAAGATGCCGTAGAGCATTATGTTTATATTACGTAGGTCTTCCAATCACAAAGAACACTCAGTCGTTACACTACTTACACTCATACCGTCCTAAGGAGTCTGGCCACGCATAGATTATGCAGACAGTATTACTGAAGTTCAGATATTCTCCGCACAAATATTTAGCGCTAGTAACACATGCATTCACGAGGGACATTAAAACACTTTTGCTTTTGGTTAAGTTTTTAAGCGGTTCTTAATTTGTCTTGATGTCAATATCAGAAATTTCTGAACAGGGAAGCGAGTGAGTGCCTTGTTCGTACCTGAACAGGAGCACCAACTATCCAGACTGAGGTCATTCGTGGTTTTCTTCAGTTCACCAACAAAATCGCTGCCTCGAATGAGGCCACGACCGCTTCGTCCTACACCCTTCCCACTTCACGGTTCCCCACCTACGCGACATTGTCTCAGTTACCGACCATGTCATTGCATTGACAATAAATAAACAAGGAAAAGTGCCTAGAAGAAAAGCTTCAGGAGACTCTCTCTCTCTTTCTGTTGTTCCCACGTGGGAGCGTACGGCATCCGTGGAATTATTTGTTTCACTTCTGTCTCTTAATCCTATAACAGTCGGTAGGTCTTCTTGGAGGAGTGGTCAGCACGTCGCAAGGCCCCTACCTACATACAGAACAACACAAACACAGAATAAACCCAGCCAGACATCCAAGCTTCGAGCGGAATTCGAACCCACGATCCCAGTGTTTGAGAGCGAAGACAGATTTAGGAGACTAGCGTGACGTTAAAAATATTTTGGTTATTCCCTCTATTATACACGTATATGGTGATGTACAGGCCTATTGCTAGGCAACGACTCGGTAAACACATTATCCTGGAAGCCAACGCGCGCAACAATAGGGCGTCCATTGCTAGAAAACGGGTCAGTAAACATGCCTAAAACAATATAGGATAATAGAAGACGGTGTTTTCCGTGGGGTCCGCCCCCTAGGCTATATAGCGTGAAGTTCCAAGGGAGCAGCTGGATGTTGTCAGATGTTGAGAGAGTTCAGTTGAAAAAGATTTCTTTTGAGTAAGTTGTCGAGAATTGGGTCGAGTTCTGGAGATGCCAGTCGAAGATAATTGAGAAGAAATGACAATAAATGAAGAATTCATGTGTTATTTGAAGTTACAATTAGACGGATATAAATCCGTTACCAGGATACGACTAATGAAGGCTGATAATCATAGTGCGTGTGTAACGGTGAACTGTAAAGTGCGTAGATCAGTGATAGCTCTGTATTGCCTGTGGTACGGAGTTGCGTGTATAATGTGTCAATAAATCCAATCCTCAAATCCAAAAGCGTGTCTTACAAGTCATCCCTGCACTGTGACCATACTTTGGTAACCCCTGCTCTGTTCCAATTACAAGACTGTATCTAGCCGAGCACACGTCTCAATTTGATTCCCCGGTAACTTTCTTCATTTGCATAAGCTTCTCAATTGATTTTACACAATCCCTTTCGAAGAAAGACGTAAGCATGCACGTCTGCCGTGTGTGAGACACCCCCAATCAGTTCAATGTTCACGCTTCTTTAAACGAGCCCATTTATAATTCATTCATTCGTGTCTACAATTTAACCGACTCCCGATACAGTGATATAGGGAGCACTGCTTGGGCGTCTCCAAGAAACAAACTCACGAGCGACTTTAGTGCGTGACTAGACCAATCACAGTTCTGAATGGGGATCAAAATTAAACAGATCTAACTACTCCCAGCAGTGCATTGACCATTCTGCATGGAACGAGGCATATCAGGAAAAATGTTACTATCGCACCGCGCGCGCGCACACACACGCACACACACACACACACAAACACACAAACACATACAAACACACACACACAAACACACACACACACAAACACATACAAACACACAAACACATACAAACACACAAACACAAACACACACACACAAACACACACACACACAGTT